TGTGGTCTAAAAAGGCATTTTAAGGCCTTTAAACGCTTCTAACGCCTAGAAAACGCATTTTAATTTTCTGTGGTCTAAAAAGGCATTTTAAGGCCTTTAAACGCTTCTAACGCCTAGAAAACGCATTTTAATTTTCTGTGGTCTAAAAAGGCATTTTAAGGCCTTTAAACGCTTCTAACGCCTAGAAAACGCATTTTAATTTTCTGTGGTCTAAAAAGGCATTTTAAGGCCTTTAAACGCTTCTAACGCCTAGAAAACGCATTTTAATTTTCTGTGTAGAAAGGCATTTTAAGGCCTTTAAACGCTTCTAACGCCTAGAAAACGCATTTTAATTTTCTGTGGTCTAAAAAGGCATTTTAAGGCCTTTAAACGCTTCTAACGCCTAGAAAACGCATTTTAATTTTCTGTGGTCTAAAAAGGCATTTTAAGGCCTTTAAACGCTTCTAACGCCTAGAAAACGCATTTTAATTTTCTGTGGTCTAAAAAGGCATTTTAAGGCCTTTAAACGCTTCTAACGCCTAGAAAACGCATTTTAATTTTCTGTGGTCTAAAAAGGCATTTTAAGGCCTTTAAACGCTTCTTACGCCTAGAAAACGCATTTTAATTTTCTGTGGTCTAAAAAGGCATTTTAAGGCCTTTAAACGCTTCTAACGCCTAGAAAACGCATTTTAATTTTCTGTGGTCTAAAAAGGCATTTTAAGGCCTTTAAACGCTTCTAACGCCTAGAAAACGCATTTTAATTTTCTGTGGTCTAAAAAGGCATTTTAAGGCCTTTAAACGCTTCTAACGCCTAGAAAACGCATTTTAATTTTCTGTGGTCTAAAAAGGCATTTTAAGGCCTTTAAACGCTTCTAACGCCTAGAAAACGCATTTTAATTTTCTGTGGTCTAAAAAGGCATTTTAAGGCCTTTAAACGCTTCTAACGCCTAGAAAACGCATTTTAATTTTCTGTGGTCTAAAAAGGCATTTTAAGGCCTTTAAACGCTTCTAACGCCTAGAAAACGCATTTTAATTTTCTGTGGTCTAAAAAGGCATTTTAAGGCCTTTAAACGCTTCTAACGCCTAGAAAACGCATTTTAATTTTCTGTGGTCTAAAAAGGCATTTTAAGGCCTTTAAACGCTTCTAACGCCTAGAAAACGCATTTTAATTTTCTGTGGTCTAAAAAGGCATTTTAAGGCCTTTAAACGCTTCTAACGCCTAGAAAACGCATTTTAATTTTCTGTGGTCTAAAAAGGCATTTTAAGGCCTTTAAACGCTTCTAACGCCTAGAAAACGCATTTTAATTTTCTGTGGTCAAAAAAGACGTTTTAAGGCCTTTAAACGCTTCTAACGCCTAGAAAACGCATTTTAATTTTCTGTGGTCTAAAAAGGCATTTTAAGGCCTTTAAACGCTTCTAACGCCTAGAAAACGCATTTTAATTTTCTGTGGTCTAAAAAGGCATTTTAAGGCCTTTAAACGCTTCTAACGCCTAGAAAACGCATTTTAATTTTCTGTGGTCTAAAAAGGCATTTTAAGGCCTTTAAACGCTTCTAACGCCTAGAAAACGCATTTTAATTTTTTGTGATCTAAAAAGGCATTTTAAAGCCTTTAAACGCTTCTAACGCCTAGAAAACGCATTTTAATTTTCTGTGTTCTAAAAAGGCATTTTAAGGCATTTAAACGCTTCTAACGCCTAGAAAACGCATTTTAATTTTCTGTGGTCTAAAAAGGTATTTTAAGGCCTTTAAACGCTTCTAACGCTTCTAACGCCTAGAAAACGCATTTTAATTTTCTGTGGTCTAAAAAGGCATTTTAAGGTCTTTAAACGCTTCTAACGCCTAGAAAACGCATTTTAATTTTCTGTGATCTAAAAAGGCATTTTAAGGCCTTTAAAAGCTTCTATCGCCTAAAAACGCATTTAAATTTTCGGTGGTATAGAAAGGCATTTTAAGGCCTTTAAAGGCTTCTTTCGCCTAAAAAAGGAGTTTTAATTTTCGGTGGTCTAAAAAGGCATTGTGAGGCCTTTAAAAGCTTCTAACGCCTAAAAAACGCATTTTAATTTTCTGTGGTCTAAAAAAGGCATTTTAAGGCCTTTATAGGTTTCTATCGCCTAAAAAAGCATTTTAAGGCCTTTTTTTATATAGTTACACTCAAAAATTTGCAGGTGCTTTACGTATTCAGATATTATTCAGTAACCCATTAGATGGCGGAAATATAGCCTTGATCGCTTTGAAATTTTGTATGAGGTTCCAGTTATGGTCATGGACAATGCCTTTAATTTTCGGTGATGATCAGATAACCATTTTGGCATGAAGTGGACCGAAAACTTAATTTTTTGTTCTAAATGATGTGTGTCAAGTTTCGTGGAAATCGGTTCAGATTTAGATATAGCTCCCATATGTATTTTTTTTTTTGGTTTTAATCTGTGTAATAAAAAAAAAAAAATGGATTTCGGAAAATAGTGCTTATGTATGTGAAGAGTACTAAATGGTAATAAACATGATATTAGATGTAGAAATAGAGGTGGAATTCGGAACTATAGTACAACAAATTATACAGTATTCACGATTTCCATATGAAATATGTTTTTGTATTCCCTTTCCGCATACGAAGTAGCGGGCACTTTGCTAGTTACTTTTAATCGCGAGCTCGAGAATGGTCGTTGTTACGAAAATATTTTTTTTTAATATATCAAAGGCGTTGATTATTTAAACATATTTTTTTAGTACCTAGCAAAGGCATGGATTTTCAGAACTAACAAAATAAAAATATATTACAAACATATATTATTTGAATTCAAACTAGGCTTGGATATTTTGAAATATTTGCCAAAGTCTAAAAATGGATTTTTTAATGCTGGTATTTAAAAGCCTGGGGTGGCGTAGGGGATGATAGATACCAAGCAACGACTCTGATTGCCTTTAACATGGCGAAGCCCAAGCTTACCTTGGCCCCCCTTTCATCTCAATTGTGGACACTGACCTCGCCGCGGTGTCACCTGGGGTAGCTATTTTCATCACCCGTTAAAATAGTGCGCTGATATGTCCCACGAGTTCACCCTAGAACTATAAAAATGGGTTGAGGCGTCGGGTTAGTTGCCCACACTCGGAAAACCCCTCCTAATATGAACAAGCTAAGATAAAAAACCAAACCCCCTAATGTTGACTGACGACCCCCGCAAACGTATAAAGAACCACGAATCTGCACTTGGAATGTGCCCATGTAGTACACAACAGGCGCAGTTCTAGCTTTGGCGGATATTATTGCCTTACAGGAAATGCGATGGAAAGGGACAGGCGTAAGTAAATCAGATGATTACGCACTGCATTATAGCTGCCATGAAACGAGACATGAATTTTGCTGCGGATTTATGGTTAACAGTAGAATAAAATACCTCGTCTCCAGATTCACTCCAGTAGATGAGCGAATTGTTATAATCCGCATAAAAGCGAAGTTCTTCTAGATCAGTCTTATTTGCGCCCATACTCCGACCGAAGACAAAGATGATCCGACCAACGACGTATTTTATGAACGCCTAGAAACAGCAAATGATCGTTGCCCTGGCCATGACATTAAAGTTCTACTAGGAGATTTTTAATGGAAAAATCGGAAGGGAAAATATCTTTGGCCCCACCGTCGGAAAATTCAGCCTTCATGAAGAAACATCCGACAACGGCATGAGGTTGATTAACTTCGCGGCAGCAAAAAACATGATAGTTAGCAGCACCAGATTCAAGCATCTCGATATACACAAGGTCACCTGAATTTCTCCAGATCAAGCAACGAGAAATCAAGTTGATCATGTTGGAAGGCATTCATCCAGTGTATTACACGTTCAATCGATCCCACTATCTATAGCAGCAAAGGTTCGCAATCGTTTTAATGTTGCAGCAAAGGTGCGATCTAACAGTCTAGATGACAGTTTGTCGTGTGATCTTTTTAATATCCTGCTGGAAAAGGTCATACGAGCCGCAAAGGTGACCAGAAATGGCACTCTATACACCAAACAGCATATGTTACTCATCTACGCCGATGACATCGACAAAATGGGTAACAGCACCTTGCGAGCGGTAACAGCACCTTTGAAAAAATTGAGAAGAAGTCCGCCAAAGTGGGTCTGGCAGTAAACGGCGATAAGACCAAGCTGATGGTATCAACGCGCAAGACGTTCAGTAGACTCGGACCAACTGTGGAACTTGAGAACTACAGCTTCGAGGTAGTTAAAGATTTCATATACCTTGGTACCGCCATAAATACAAACTAATGACATCAGTTTAGAAATTTGAAGAAGGATTGTGATGGCCAACAGATGCTACTATGATCTGAGTAAGCAATTCAAAAAAAGATCAAACTCACAGTCTACAAGACGCTAATGCTACCCGTGCTGTTATATGGATCTGAAGCATGGGTACTTGCGCAAGCAGATGAGGCTGCTCTTGGGGTGTTTTAAAGAAAAATACTCCGAATGATCTACGGGCCGATCTGCGTCGACGGTGAATATCGGGGTCGAATGAACCACGAGCTTTACAATTTATACGCGGACATCGACATAGTCATACGTATTGAGATGCAGCGACTACGGTGGCTAGGCCATGTTGTACGAATAAATGAGAATGCCCCAGCTCAAAAGGCATACAAAAGCGAACCTACTGATGGTTCCCTTAGAATGGGAAGGCCACGAATTAGATGCAAAGAACACGTAGAAAACAACATCTTGGAACGTGATCTTTCAATTGCACAAGACCGATATTTTTTTTAAACCTATACCTAAATTTTTAAGAATATTTTTTAAGTTTCCATGTATTATCCATATTCAAATAAAATCTCAATTTTGTAATGATTTCGTAGGAACCACCCTCATAGGGAGACAACTGGACTCACCACATACCAAATCCTTGATTGCAAATTTTCCTGGCATTAAATACACGTTGTTGAAAATTATTTGTTAATAAATATCGACCATTTTTATTGATTTTTTAAAATTATTACTGAAAACTAATTTTCGAAATTTAAATTTTTTCAATCAATAATTCCCAATATTCTAGCCTTGCTTAGAAAATCAGTTCTCTGTATATAACATCCAGTCATTGTCCTTGAACCAGTATACGAATAACGGCCATGATAAACACGCCAATTGTCGAAAACCACAATCGTACCCGGATATAACTTAAAACGCCATTGATTATCGGGACTTTGTACAATTTCTAAAAATTCACAAAATGCTTCATAGAATTCGAACATCTCCTCTTGGGGTATGGTATTGAATACGGCGCGATCATAAACATTCAGACGTAATTGAATAATTTCTTGTGTCACGGGATCCAAACGTATCATTGGTGCCGAATGCGTGTGATGTTGGCCCTCTTCAATGTATTCAGCTGGCAAATGGACTCGTGTCAGCAATTCAAAGGCTTTGGGATTTCTTCGCTTCAATTCCAGAGCACAGTGCAGGCCATCGACAAAGAAATTCTCACCACCCTCACCGTTCAAATGTTGCAAGCAATGAAGAACCTGCAGAGCTTTACAATTTATACGCGGACATCGACATAGTCATACGTATTGAGATGCAGCGACTACGGTGGCTAGGCCATGTTGTACGAATAAATGAGAATGCCCCAGCTCAAAAGGCATACAAAAGCGAACCTACTGATGGTTCCCTTAGAATGGGAAGGCCACGAATTAGATGCAAAGAACACGTAGAAAACAACATCTTGGAACGTGATCTTTCAATTGCACAAGACCGATATTTTTTTTAAACCTATACCTAAATTTTTAAGAATATTTTTTAAGTTTCCATGTATTATCCATATTCAAATAAAATCTCAATTTTGTAATGATTTCGTAGGAACCACCCTCATAGGGAGACAACTGGACTCACCACATACCAAATCCTTGATTGCAAATTTTCCTGGCATTAAATACACGTTGTTGAAAATTATTTGTTAATAAATATCGACCATTTTTATTGATTTTTTAAAATTATTACTGAAAACTAATTTTCGAAATTTAAATTTTTTCAATCAATAATTCCCAATATTCTAGCCTTGCTTAGAAAATCAGTTCTCTGTATATAACATCCAGTCATTGTCCTTGAACCAGTATACGAATAACGGCCATGATAAACACGCCAATTGTCGAAAACCACAATCGTACCCGGATATAACTTAAAACGCCATTGATTATCGGGACTTTGTACAATTTCTAAAAATTCACAAAATGCTTCATAGAATTCGAACATCTCCTCTTGGGGTATGGTATTGAATACGGCGCGATCATAAACATTCAGACGTAATTGAATAATTTCTTGTGTCACGGGATCCAAACGTATCATTGGTGCCGAATGCGTGTGATGTTGGCCCTCTTCAATGTATTCAGCTGGCAAATGGACTCGTGTCAGCAATTCAAAGGCTTTGGGATTTCTTCGCTTCAATTCCAGAGCACAGTGCAGGCCATCGACAAAGAAATTCTCACCACCCTCACCGTTCAAATGTTGCAAGCAATGAAGAACCTGCAGACCGGCAGCATCACAAAAATATGTATTATCAGTATGGGAACCTAAATACTCTTTGGTGTAGGCAGTATCAGCATGATCGGCAGCATCACTAAAGGTAAACATTTCACCGAAAAAGGTTTTCATAACGGGGAAAACACGACGTACAGCCATTTCGGTCATTGTGGTATTGGCCGGAACATTATCGATGAAGGCAATGCCATAACGTACCAAGGCGGCTACATAGTCTCTAACCACAGAATCGGAACTCAACAATTCAGTAAAACGGAAACGGCAATGTCTTTCATTCTGTAAAATGATGGGCAAATTCCAGGGTGTTTTGAGTGTAGAATTGCTTTTACGTTTTATCAATTGCGGCAACTGAGAATTGAATATGAAATCAATGCCATATTCCGAAACATGACCATCGTTCCCTAAAAAAATAAAACAAATTGTTTTTTTTTTCGAATAACACATATACCTAGTGGTACCACTTACATGTTACTTCCAATACAAGACCATCCTTTAAATATTTCACACCACCAGCCTCCGGTTTTATTTCCCTGGGTATATCCAATAAATTATAGCGTTTTTGTTTTGTCTCAGCATTATAGCAACGCGGACATCTGCAATGATCCCTTAGCCAAAAATAATTAACTTTGATAATTTCTTGACTTTGGCTGTGTTTAATTTCCAACATATTATTTCTTTGGCCCCTTTCGTGTGAACTTTTGAAATGCTACTGAAAATCAGTTTTAATTTATAGCCCGCTTTATATTCTAGAATAGAAGATCCAAAGAATACTCAATATTCAACACTGTGAGATAAGCCGTTTTCACCACACCCATTTGTTTCAACTGATAAGAGGACAAATTTGCCTTCATAATGATGATGATGATGACGATGGTGGATGGATGATTAAGATGATGATTGAACTGCAGGGAGGCAACCAGATTAACCTACTTGCTCTTCTATGCATTATGCTGAAAGCCATTTGAATTTCTTGTTGTTGTTTATAACATGTTATAATGAATATTGGAGTGTACCGGCATGCATGGCATTGTTCTGTTTTAAAAATAGAAGACCATCAGATTACAAGGAAAACATGTAAGTTATTAATATTTTTGTATTTGTTGAAGGAAATTACAGTACGTTTACATTCTACCGGTTTTCGTTAACCCAGTAGGGTTCAATTGTCAATTCCATTGTATACTTGTCATATAAATCCTAATAGAGTAGGTTAAGCCTGTAAAAAGTTCTAATGTAAACTCCGTTTTAATGTTTTTTTTAAATTTATCTTATCAATCTAAAATTTTTAAAATTGAGACAAGTTGATACGTGCCAACTATAGAGGAATAAATCTCCTTCCCACTGTAGCCAATAGTCAATGGGACCTGGCAAACCCACCATAGACCAAATTTTCACTCTGCGCCAAATCCTGGAAAAGACCCAGAAAAACAAATCGACCCATTTCACCTACTCGTCGACAACAAAGCCGCATTCGTCAGCCCTGCAAAATGAATAAGGCTATGTAGGATAACTTTAACTGGCACAGTGGAGGGACCTCTCGGAGCTCTGCAATACCAAACGAGGGTTCAGACAAGGTGATAGCCCCTCGTGTAACCTTTTGTACACTGAACAGCATATTTTACTAGCCTAAGCCGACGACATCGACATTATGGGTCGAACATTGTTAGCGGTAACAGCCACCTTTGAACGAAATGAGAAGGAGTCTGCCAAAGTGGGACTGGCAGTAAATGGTAAGAAGACCAAACTGATGGTACGCAACGCGCAAGACGTCCAGTAGACTCGGACCAACTGTGGAACATGAAAACTACAGTTTCGAGGTAGTGAATGATTTTATATACCTCGGTACCGCCATACACAAAACTTATATCATCAGCTATGGAATCCGGAGAAGAATAGTGTTGGCTAACAGATGCTACTATGATCTGAGTGCGAGGTGTCTTCGATCCGAAACGACCAAAGACTGTCACCTCAGCCCATTGTGTAAAAGTAATAGATCTGCTACAACAACAAAAGTGACCTGAGTAAGCAATTCAAAAGCAATGTCACCTATCTCCATACCAAACACACATTCTACAAGACGCTGATACTACCCGTGCTGTTGTATGAATCTGAAGCATGAGTAATTATGCGAGCGAATAAGGCAGTTCTTGGATTGTTTGAGTGAAAAAAATCTCCGAAAATCTATAGGCTGATCTGGGTCGACGATGAATATCGCCGTCTAATGAACCATAAGCTGCTTAAGAAATGGGTCTATCCCATTCCGTTTGGCCAAGGCTGATGGAAATTCGATCCATTCTATTTGTCCTGTTAATCGGTGCGGCTCCCAAACATCGAGCTTTTTTTGAATCCACCTTTTTTAAAAGGCTTAAAACAGTTTTATGGTCGATTTTTAGCTCTTTTTTAATTGGTTTTCTTTTGTTGTTTTCGTTGACATGTTTTCGCATTGACGTTTGTGGCCTTTGTTTTGTAATGATAAAAAAAATATATCCCATTTAATTGTTGTAACCACTGTCCTTCTTAATATTATAATCGAATAACATCAACACATAATTGGCGCTCATTAAAATTATGCTCTCTCACTCACTCTGTTTGAGAAACAACGAAGAAAAACAAGCTATGAATAACAAATAAAATATTAGCCTAAGGCAGTCACATAGGTATGTATATGTCACAAAATGATTGTCTCTCTCACCCTCTTTTCGTCTGATGACACTAAATAACATACTCTCCCGAACTAACTCTCTTTCTCTGTCTCTTTATAAAACAAGTCCGCCAATTAGTATTGCTAGCTTTAGTAACTAATCAAAACAACAACGTACAAACCGCACGCACACACAAACTAGCATGCACTATGGATAACGTATACGCTATGCTGTACCGTACACCTGAACGTATACGTAATGTGTAAACATTAAATTGTTTTCTGTTTTTGAGTTTTTTTTTTTTTTTTGTTTTGATTTTTTTTTAGCGACACAGTTTCATTTTCATTTCCAATTGCATTGCAATTGTGTGTGTAAGAGTGTTAGTGTTCAGTGTGTGGCAACAATGGTAACTAAGCGACAGATAACAGCTGAACTGTTGTTGTTTTGTTGTTTCATTTCAACAAGACGTACAACGTGCAAAATAGTATGAACCGTTCGTTTATACTGATATATGTATGTAGTTCGGTAGGTAGGTATATCTTAAATCCACTATAGACTATTATTTTCCATTTAGATTTTGTTTAGCCCTCACTATTCTCATGTTTGAGGTGTCTTTCTCTCTAGAAAATGAGTGGACAACATTGATGACAGTGTGGTATGTATGGTGGCGCGGCAGTTTGTGTCTCATTTCCGATGTCGCGATATTTGGTGGAGGCGTCGTGGTCGCCCTCGTCTTCCTTCGTCCAAACATACATATTTGATTGTTGTACCTCAGCTCGTGTTGTTTTCAATTGTCAGCGAAAGGTGTGATTCGTGTGTGAGTTTGTCAAAATAACAAGAACAACAGGGAAATATATTTTTGTTCGTTATTTTCTCGTGATTTCTTATGAGACCCAATACCACCATTGACTGTCGTCGTCGTCGCCGTAATGTCCACTCTTCTTGTTTTAGTCTGTGGCACGCGGTCTCTCGGACACTCACTCACTCTCCCGCCAGCAAGTGCATGAGTTTTTCTTTTGTACCTCCATCCGTGGCTATGGTTGACGTTTTAGCAAATACGATTTCAGTTGTTTTCTGAAAATTGCCTATAAATTAGTCAAAATAAGAGATACTCTTTACGTCGTCGGTGGTGGCGAAGAGAAGAAGAAAAATAATTACAAATCAAAACAATATTTCAATATAATATTCGTTTAAAAAATAATAATAATAATTGTGCGTCTTATTAGCTTTGTAACGCCGTGGCAATTTGGCAATGAACTTAACTCAAGGATCATCATTCGTGTGTTAAGAAGCTTATGGTCTGGTTTTATGACCTGTTTTTTTCTCGTGATCTAAAGAAAACAAACAAAAGAAAATGTCAAAACAAAAAACAAATCAAATTATTCAAATGTGTTATGGCTTCTATTTAACATGCTAAAATATTAAATCAAATAGAATTCAAATAACAAGAATTTGTGTGCGTGTGTGTGATTGTGTCTGCATCGTTGCATTGTCCTCCACTATGAATGGCAAAAATACAAAGTCATTGTCAAGTTATTATTACAACAACAACACCACAAACAGTATTATAGCTGTTAAAAGAAATAATTTTAAATAACACCTTACACCTTGGTTGGCATTGTCATTGCCTTAGTGTGGTGTGTCTGTGTGACCTATTGTCGTGTGTTGAAAATACATTGTGAAAGGATTGAAAATATCTTGTCGTCCTTAAAATTACAGTCACCTTTAAGAAACCAAGTAATTTTCTTATCCTACCTCTGCACATAAATGATGATGGATATCCAACAACATCAACCACATCACCACTACATTTCCTTTCGCCGATCTTTAAAGCGTTCAATTAGTTTTAATGCAGGTATGTATTTTAAATGTGTGTGAGTGCTCGTGTGTGTAAGTCATTTTAATATTTCCTTATAATGACCTTGTGTGTGTTACGGTCATTGTTCGTTGTTGATCTTCCTCTAAATTTGATTAACCATTTGAAAACGTTAATTTTGAAAGTGGCTTAAGTCGTTTGGATAACAAAATCTAATGTAATGATATTTATGTGTGTATGTATACACTGGTGGCCCAAACTATAGCAACTAAAATTGCAGGGTTAGTAAATGCCGTATAACTTTTTCAAAAATAAAGATATCGTATTAGTTTTTTCAGTTTTAAATCGGATACTTTATTCACTTAAAAAATAAAAGCATTAATGCACAATTCATTATGAAATGAATAATTATTTATGGGTAAGGAATTGTCTCAATTTTTGCTTGGACAAAATTAAAGCATCTTTAGAGGGCAAACAGATGAATTCTAAAATTTGAGTTATTTTAGCGTTATAAATAATTAGTATGTTTTGTTTTCTTCACCAATTTCGATTCTTATAATCACCTTTAAATGGATTTTATTACAATGTGTCTGGTTTTCAATTTTGACTTATTGCGGAAAAAAAAAATATAAAAATGGCTGGTAACAAATACAGTACTCCGATAAAACAGCTAATTATGAGTGAATGTGAAAATATCACAGAAAATGATTTTGAACAAATATTCCATGATTCCTGGAATTATAAGTTCATTTCATGCAACTATTTCGGGAGTGACAGTCAATAACAGAGGGCGAAAAACATCAGTTGTTTTGATCGACAAATTGGCATAGCTGTAAAAAAATACTCATTTTAGAGTTCAACGGAGTTTGTTAGACGGTTATGGTTTGATATAACCTCAAGAACAAAGCGTGGACGAGCTATGGTAGCAGGCCTACTTGCCCACAAATTATCATGAAAGTTTTTTAATTTCTGAAAAGAATCGGCAAAAGCTCATACTAATTGGAATCCAACTTACTTACCTATTTAGCTGGCTTGTTCCAAGCGCATCGGTCTTGTGTTCAAGCGCATCGGCCTTGTGTGCATCTCCTTCAATTTGAAAGACCATGCGCCAACATGTTCTCTTCTACTTGATCTTTCCATATAATTCCTGGCCTTCCCCTTCTGCGTGAACCATCGGCAGGCTCGGTTTTATATGCCATTTGAGCATTTTTA